GCTCCACCTGGGAGTTGGCTCAAGCTGGATTCCATGGCAAGCGGCCCTGGGGGCACGGAGGGGACACAGAAGGGGTGAGGAGGGGGTGTCTAGTCCCACTTCGAAGGTGTGCTCTACCTTTGGTCTCTGCTTGGGGAAGGCCTGCAGGCAGGGGCTTCACCCTTGGAGGGCAGGCCCAGCTCCCGCCTTGTGAGGCCCAGAAGACCACTGCACAAGAAGCCACAGAGAATGAAGGCGTGGCCACAGTTCCTGAGGAGACATCACCTGTGGCCCAGCTCGGCCCTGCAGACAGCACTGCAGTGTCCTCCCTGTAACCTTTGTGGCACATTACTGCTGGGGAGCACAGACGCACATGGGAGCTGATCACAACGCGCTCACTCGTGGAGGTGGAGGCAGGATTCCAAGCCAACCCTGGGGTCCAGGCTTCTCCCCAGTACCCAACCTCACCAGGCAGGAGCTGTGCCCCCTGCAGCTGAGCCAGTCCTGTCCCCTACAGAGCTCCAGACTGGGCTTCCCAAAGCCTGCACTTTCAGGGCGCACGGAGCTGCCCGGTGGCCGCAGCCAGCCCCACTTCATGCTCCAGCTGCTCCTCGTCTGGGCAGGAGGCTTCGTAGGGCTCCAGGGTGGAAGAGGAAGAGAAATGGGTGTGGAGGTCAAGAAAGAAGAGAATTACAGGAAGCAGGCAGAGCTGGGGGACCCCAGCAAGAGGGGAAGGTGAGGGCAGCAAGGAGACCCCGGATGGGGCAGAGAAGAATCAGGAAGCACAGAAAGAGAGGAAGAGCCCTGGGAAACAGGAAGAGGATGGGTGAGAGGACAGCAAGGAAAGGGCTTTGGGAAGGGACAGAGAGCAAGAGGGGAGACACAAAGAAAGAGAAGGGCAAAAGCGGGCCAGGGGAAGACAGGAAGGAAGGAATGGAGGATGGAGTAGAGGCGGGCAAAGAGGCAAACCAGAGGTCACGGAGGGAAACAGAGACCTTGGAGAACCAGGAGAGATGTAGCAAGCAGGGCCGCCCACCGCACATTAAACACCTAACAGGAGATGACAAATCAAATGGGAATTACTGGGTAAACACATAATTAGAAACTTGATTGAAGTTAAACAGAATTTACATAACACTGCAAATTAACTTTACACGGAAACTATTCACTGGGAAGGCATGAAAAGGCATTTCATTAGTAATCTATATTTAAACAATAGGCACAATGGAGCCCTCTGATGAAGAACTCCGTGCCTCCCATCAGAGTGGTGCCAGAAGCTGTCAGAGGACCGGCGGCCATGGGTGCTCCCAGAGGAAGTGGGCAGGGGCCAGAGCGGACCCAAACAGGACAGGTGGAAATCTGGTGCCCATTCTGTATCTGACTTGCTGTGTGGCCTTGGGCTGGTGTCATGCCTTCTCTGGGCTTCTATTTCCTCACCTTCAAAAATGAGGATGTTGGAGAGCCGGTTTGTGTGTCTGGATGGTCTTAGGAGAGGCTGGGTAATGGTACAGACCACAGTAAGCTTGTGGGCTCTGGGGTCAGGTGCCCTAGCTCAAAGGACCTCCCCATCACAATAGCTGTGGTGTTGTACTTGCTCTGTCCTCTCTCGCTCTGATTTGCCCATCTGATCAACGGGGACGCATCCAGCTCCACAGGACATCACCGAGGCAGTGAAGGACTTAGGGGAGAACAGGTAGAGAGGCAGAGATGGGCTTATGGAAAACCAGCCTAAAGGCCTGGGGTTACCCGTCTCATCCGCCTGGCCGGCAAATGACTCTACCCACGGCTACCAAAGCAACGCAAGCCCTGTGCCACCTAAGCAGCTTCTGCTACCTCCTCTGGTCCCCAAGGCAGAGCAGAGCGCAACTCTCCTCTCTGTCCAAAGGGAGCAAGTCCCGAAGTCCCCACCCAGCTGCACCAATTCCCAGCCTAGAGCCGTCTCATCCGCCTGGTGGGCTCCTACAGTGGACCCCCCTCCCCCAGCACCCATGGTCTCTCGATTCATCTCAGCCACCTGCTCCTCTCTGCACTCCCCTGGTGCACCCAGCGGGGCCATCCTCTCGGCTGGGCACCCGTGGCACTCGTGGCCACGCCAGAGGTCACTGGCTTGGTGCCTGCCCCAACCTGACTGCCAGCTCTGAGGGAAGGGACCCTGGTGTCCCCTCTGTCCACGCCACTCCGAGCCCCGTGCAGGCACAGTGAGAGTTGCCTGGCAAGTGTGGTACCCTCCTGCTGCAGGTGGGGAAGCCGGACCCCTAAGCACAGCTTGCACTCCAAGAACCAAGTGAGGGGACACTGCTGAGAAACAGTGACTGAGAGGTGGAGAAGAAGACAGGGAAGAGGAGAGGTGGAACAGAAATGCACACACAGCTCCAAAAGGCAGAGTGCATCTAATGTGAGCTGGAGACTGGGACGCATTCACCTGAGGTAGAAGATGGCACAGTGCTTGGGTGGGTGTCGTCCCTTGGGTGGGCAGTGACTGAATCCAGAGCTTCCAGACAAGTGCTCCATGCAACGGGTGGGTCCCACGCCAGAGCCCCAGAGAGTGCAGGAGCTCCCAAAGGCAAGTAAGTGCAAAACTGGACAGACATACGGGGTGTGCTGGCTCACACCTGTAATTGCAGCACTTCGGAGGCTGAGGCAGGAGGATTGCTGTGAGTTTGAGGCCAGCCTGAACTACACAGCGAGACTCTGTCTCAACATAAACAAACAAATGAAAGTGGACAGAATCAGGGCAAGAGGCTCAGCTGGGGCCAGGGGGCCAGGGAGGGCTGGACCTGGGCTCACTCAAAGCCCAGCCAGATACTTTCAGGCCTCGGCACCTGTGAGGCCAGGGCCGGGGAGGAAGAGGCTCTGGACCCTCTGCCACTCCACATATGGCATGGTTACTGAGGCCTCTGTGCTCCCTCTGCCTGTAGCACCTGTCCTTGTTTGCCCATGCACAGTGTACTTCTGCTGTCCCCTCTGTTGCCTGCTCCTTCCTGTCCTCTTCCATGGCTCCTGCCCCTGTGCCCTCTTCCTGAGGGCTGTGACTCGGGCCGCCTGCCACCCTTGGTCCAAGCTGCTGCCACCTCCCCCTTTACTGGTGGCAGCTTGTGGCCATGTCGTGCACCAGGCCTGCCACCTATGTGGTGGGTCCCCAGGGTATCTGATCTCACTGCCTGCCCCTTCCTGAGCACCAACCACAGAGCCTTCTGCTCTGTCCTTGACCGCTAAGGCCACCCCTGCTCACTCACTGGTGGCTGGTGACACTCAGATCTTATTCTGTCAGAGGCCTCCTTGACTACCCCACCTGAGGGCACCTCACCCTACCCAGTCAGCTCTGTCCCCTTCCCTGGCTTAATTTCTCTTTTTAAAATTTAGCATTGAGCTGGGCATGGTGGTAATCCCAACTGCTTGGGAGGCTGAGGCAGGAGGATCACAAGTTTGAGGCTAGTCTGGGCCACTTAGCAAGACCCTATCTCAAAATAAAAAATGAAAAGGATAAAAAGCACCAGGATTAAAACTCAGTGGTAGAGCACCCCTGGGTTTGACCCCCGCCCCCAGTGCTGCAACCTCTCACCCCAAGACAACCCACAAAAATTTAGCCTCATTTGACATATGACAGGTTTTCTGTTCAGGTATTTACTGCCCGTATCTCATCATGAGAATGAAAACTGCCTCTATTGGGGAGTTTTGTCTGTTTTATTCCCTGCTACACCTCCCAAACACCAGGAGTTCCTGGGATGAAGAAAGGAGCACACCACATATTCTTCCAGGAACGCCTGCATACAGAATCAGCTCATGACCCTTCCTCACCCCTTCCCCGCTCCCCAAACAGTCACAGACAGAACACAGCCAAGCACTGCCCCATGGGAGGGAGTCTGCCTCCACTGCATGCTGTGTGCTCTCAGGGCACGGCTGGATCGGCTCTGTCTCCAAAACCCTTAGTGCAGGGCATGCCTAGTGCAAGAGTCAGTGACTGATGAGTGAATGAAGTAAGAAAGGGGTGATTAGATGGATAGATCCAGGGAGGGCGGATGGACAGATGGATGGAGAATTAGGTGGATGGATGGACAGGTAGTCATAGAGTGGTTGAGTGGCTAGACAGATGGATGGGTGAATAGGTAGGTGGGTGAGGGGATGGATGGATGGATGAAGTAGGTGGATGGATAGGTAGGTGGTGGAGTGGTTGTGTGGATAAGTGGATGGATGGATGGGTAGAAGGAAGGATGGGTGGATGGAGAGATGGACAGATGGATGGAGAAGTAGGTGGTAGAGTGGTTGAGTGGCTAAGTGGATAGGTGGAAGGATGGGTGGCTAGATGGATAGGGCGGCTGTGTGGATGGATGAACAGACAGAGAGATGACTCGGTAGCTACGTGGACAGTGAGTAGATGGATGATGGCTGGGTAGATGGATGAGTCCCATCATGGGTATTCAATGAAGACTGCTGAGGCTTGAGTTCAATGGCAGGACTTCTCTGGGGAAGATGGGTCAGACCAGTGTGGTGTGGTGAAGGTAAAACTGTAGGTGCTGATAGAGCCAATAGAGTAAAGCCAACTGTACGCCCCCTGGCAGCCCATTAGCTTCCTGTACCTGTGGCTCATGGCCTGAACATGCAGGTAACTCTTGCTCAGAGTTACCAGGGAGATGGCACAAAGGAGACCACATTTGCAGTGGAGCACATCTCCACCAGCTGACCTCAGAGTCATGCTACATCCCCAAGGACTACATGCTCAGTGTTCTGAGTGGGCCCGCCTGTCAGCATGGCTGAACTCAAAGATCAGTCACCCCAGCTTATTCACAGACCCATGGGGGCTAGGAGTGAGGAGAGGACTGAGACCCACGCCCACTTTAGAGACAAACTGAAGCCCAGTGTGTCTATGGCAGGAAGGACTCCACACAAGGGCCACGGCAGCCCTGCAGCCAGGTCAAGGAGAGCTGGGAGAAAAGTGGTGCCCCTCAGCTCTGGTCCACCCTGTCACTTCCTGACCTTGCCCTGTCCAGGGCTCAGGAGGTGTGGTCACGTGCCAGCATTACCTTTCTGTGTCAGCAACTTGGGGACAGGCAGCAGCAGCTCTCTTCACACCCCTTGCAGCATCGGTCTGCCCCTCAACAGGGCCCTCAGCTTCCTCCTGGGGACACAGAGGACAGACGGACATGGTGAGCACCAGGGACAAAGGCGGCTGCCCCCTCCCTCCCAGCCCCATCCCCACTTCTGGGTTATCTCAGTGGCCTCTTGGGCTCCTTCAGCACACCCAGGATGCTTGATTTATCAGAGCCACTGTGTTCTCCTCACCCAACCACACACCAAGGAGCAGGCCCACTCCTCTTCGTGGGAATTTTAAAAAGGCATGTACGTCTAACTTTTGTTTCTTCTGGGGCCCAGGGACTTTGGCTGTCTTTTTCTTCTTGTTGAGAACAGCAGAAAGCTATTGCCTTACTGCACAGCCCCCAGGCAGGGTGACAGAGAGGTTGTCGGGGTATTTTTAGCAAGATACACAAAGCCCCTGCTTGGTCACCTCTCTGTGCCATGTCTGGCTTTGGGGAATTATCTTACACGGCTGGTCACTGCCTAGCCATTGCCCGTCCTCCCGGCAGCCACCCCCGAAGCCATACTCTGACCCCTGCCTGGATTTCTGTCATTAGGAATTGCTTACCCGGTCTTTGGCCAACACTTGGGGACATTTTACCTGCCCCCTTCCTCTTGTTTGGCCTAAAACTAGTGGAGATGACCCAGAAACAGTCTAAAGCAGACAAGAGTCCTATGACTAGTTACTCTGTGCCCGCCCCCTTGGTGCCAGGATTGAACTCAGGACTTTGTACTTGCAAGGCAGGCGGCAGCACCACTGAGCTAAATCCCTGTCCCATGTGTCCCCAAATTTAAAGCCTTCCTCCTATGCCCTTCTCAATTCTTGGTCGGAGCTGAGGCCTACACGGAAGATGACTCAATTAAAATTCACCTTGACTTCAGCTCCTTTTTTTTAAGCTCCAATAAATCTGGCCTTATCCAAAGCAATCATGGCCGTGAAATAAGTGGTTTGATATGCTAGTTACATTTCTCTTCTCTTCTCTTTTTCTTTTCATATCAGGGATTGAACTCAGGACCTTGTGCTTGCAAGGCAGGTAGCAGAACCACTGAGCTAAATCCCTGGCCCTAGTTACATTATTTCTAACACACCTTCATAAATAGGTAACTCACAGAATAAAGATCTACATTCTTTTCAGGATTACCTAATTCTAGAATCTCATCAGAGACAGAGACAATCAGAGTTTCGCAGGTCATGTTTTGGGAAACTCGTCATGATGCAGGAACCATCTCAGTGGATACAGGGCGAGAGAAGTGTGGGGGAGACAGCCAGCGGGGTGACATGAATCAGGGCGGAGGAGGAGAGGGGCTAACAGCCCAGTGTGCTGGTCCCTTTCCCACACTGGGCCAGACCAAGCCTACCCCACACTTGAATTTTCTGTGACAGGGTAGGCAGAAGAAACATGTAAGACCTCCTAGGATATAATGTGGGGTAGCAACCCAAAGGCCTGGGGCCAAGATGCCATCTTTTCCCAGCATCCTCTCTGATTCTCTGCTGCTCCTGAACTCACAAGCTGCACTCTTGGTCCTTGATCCTGTGGGCTCTGGTGGCAGCTGCCCACCCTCTCTGGGTCTCAGTCTCCCCACGTGTGCTTTGGGACCCTAGAAATCTTGGTGGCCACAGCCCTTGTGCTTCACAGCTGCTCTCTGTTCTTCCCAGCTCTGCCCACAGGCTGAAGACCCCAGCTGGGCTTCTGGCTGGCCCTGCTGCCTGCCTCTCCCACCAAGAACAGGATGTGGTGTGAGGAGGTGACGGGAGTGTGGGGTCGGGTGGGGAGTGGCCTCAGGACAGGACTTCCTGAAGCCAGATCGGTTTACCACAGTCAGTTGGGCCCAGGACCGCACAGCTGTGAGTTATAAATGTCCCTGTCAGAGCCAGGGCTGGGAGGCCCTGCTGCTGGGGAGGCACAAAGGGTCCCCAGCGCCCACTTGGAGGCCTCCCTGGCTATTGCCTGTCTTCCTGGTGGCTGCTGCCGAGGGCTAGCCCTGGAGACCCCTGGGCTTGCCACACTCCTCTGAGGAGCTCCAATCATAGGGTCTGATGCCACCTCCTTGCCCACTCTTTGCCCCTCCGGGTGCAAAGCTTGTGATTTCCATGGCCCCAAGAGCCCCCGGAGGGCAGGGCATGCCCTGAGCCAGTCTGCACAAACCCTGAGCTTGGCCCCCCATCAGCGCCTCCATGACAGGCACAGGGGCTACTCCTGTAGCTCCAAATCCACAACCAGCTTTCCATGGCCCCATCTGCCCCCTAGGCTAACCACCAGGGCAGGTGCGAAGCAGGGGCAGTCCCAGCTAGTTTGTGTGGGACCCAGCGTGGACATTGGGGGCTGTAGGAGACCTTCCCCAAGTCCCCTCCCTGTACCCTCTCTCTCGGGCTCCTGCAGTATGGGTGAGCAGGAGACCAGCCACACTGAGCAAGGCTATCCTGGGTGGAGGCCTCAGGTCACTCTGACTCCAGGCTGGGGCCACCAAGGTGGGCAGCACAGAGCCAGCCTCAGGCGCACCATAACCAAAGCAGCCTGTGCTTCAGGGACTAAAGCTTCTACAGTTGCGGGGGTGGGGGGCTCCTCTTTTAAAACATACATAGAACTGGGCTGGGGATTTGGCTCAGTGGTGTCGCTGCCTGCCTCACAAGCACAAGGGCCCAAGTTCAATCCCCGGTACCCCCCAAATACATATATAATTACAACTATGTACTGAGACTCAGAAATCACAGAAAATTCCTGCAGTCTTATAGGGATCCAGGCCCCTTTCTCATGAAGCCTCTTTAAACAATTTATCAAAAATGCTTACAGTGAAATATTCCTGACTGCACCCCACTACACCTTGCCCTCAGAACACTCGAGAGTCCCCCTCAACCTTCGGCCTTTACCCAGCTTTATGAGTTTGCCAGGGAGTCCCCCTTCTGATCACAATGACAATGATGAAACTGGTAATAATAACAATGACACCTAAATTGAAGGACCTGTAGCTGTGCCATCCTAAGTTACTTTATGTGAATTTATTCATTTACTATCACCACAGCCTAGGAGGTAGATATGTACCAATTTAACAGATGAGGAAACAGAAAGGTTAAAAAACCAGCCCGAGGTCACAGAGCCAGGATATAAGCCCAGCCAACCTGCCGACACACTGGTACTGGCCAATCCTCTCTGCTCCCTGCCTGGGGGGGCCTGGATGGTTTTCTCTCTAGGAGAGACTCCAATGGTAACAGCAACTGCGCAATAGGCCCCCTCTGCTGAAAAGGGGATCTTTCTGATCCTACACAAAAACTGAGAGCATCCACCAGCACCCACATCTCAGAGGTAAAGTGGCCTCCTACTTGTCTCCCTGTGCCCAGGGCATGCTAGCTCCTCTTCCTGGTCCTCAGTCTTGGACTCGGCAGGGGTGGCGGGGTGGAAGAAGGGCAAGCCTTACCTAGAGATGGGCTGGGCCTGCCCCATGGGGACCCCCTGCAGTGCCCTGAAGGTTTTCCGCGTGAGAAGTGGGGGCTGGAAAGAGATGGCTTCCTGGGGTTGCCAGGTGCGCCCACCCGAGGCCCAGGCCAGCCTTTAGGAGGTCAGGGCAGGGGTCGGAAGCCTGGGGTGGCCAAGGCTGGCATGGGAAAATGCAGGTGGCTTTTGGCCTCTGGGAACAGGGCTTTGTGTCCCATCTGCCCACAGTGGCCTTCAGTATCTGGTGGCAGTGGGTCGCCTTGCATAGATGCCAGCTGTGGTGGCAGGCCAAGGGGTCCTGGCCCAGATCCTGGCTCACTAGGGCTACACTGGGCACTGGGGCTCTGGGCAGCAGCGGGCACTGGCACCTAGACTACAGCCCAGAGCCTTGGGCATCTCCAGCCGCAACCCCAAACTCCTGTGGACCTCGCTGAAGCCATTTCTCTCTCCCTTGAGGACTGGCCATTGTGCCACACCTCGAGGGACCTCCTGTGCCCACTGCCTCTGGGAGGGCAAATGACCTCTCTCTGGGGGGTTATATCGTGCCCTGCACAGCAGGGAAGAGGAAGGCAGGATCCCCCGGAATGTCTGCCTGGTCACAGGATGTAGCAGCAGTGGCCTGCAGGCCAGGGACCAGCAAATGCTGCCTGCGTAGCTCCCTCAGCCCCCTGACCTCACAGACCCGCCTTCTGACCTGGCATCTTCCTTTGGCCTTCCACTGTGTCCCCAAGCCGGTTATGCCACACTGTAAGCACCTCTGTGTTGTTCCATCTTCATTATTTATGTATCCTTATTTAAATCACTTCACACCAATCACTGTCTTTTTACTTAGCTGCATCTTCAGCAACAGTATCTGTGAAATCATGGGTTTGATGGACTAATTATATGTTTTTTTCTAATCCACATGAAAATAAATACAGAATGCTAAAATGTGAAATTCAGATCCGGGCACATGTCCTGGCAGCCCACGGTGTACAGACAGCCTGGGTTGGAGGAGGCTGGCTGTGGGGAGACCTGGTCCAGGTAAGCAATGGGAGCCTCCTGCTGGGGCTGCACAGGGACGTGGTGGGGTCACACGGGCTCGGACCAGCCCCCCTTTCCACTGGAGTGGAAGTCACCACCTGCAGAGGGGTCTCAGTCAGGCTTGCAGGAGGTTCCAGGCCTCTCTGGGCCTGTTTCTCCATGGGAAAAGTAATTGTGTGTGAGCTAGAAGTTCTGCCCAGCTCCGCCAATCAGACAGCAGTCCCCGGAAGTCGAGGGAAACCGGGTGCTGCTGGTGTCCCCTGGGCCTCAGATAGGCCCTCTGACCACGAGTGATTCCCTGACCCCTTCCCCTTCCACCTGGTCAGGGGCCTCGGGTGGCATCTGGTGCCGAGGGAAAGATGGGGCTGTCCTGTGTGACAGCTATAAAATTAGATAATCAGCTAATCACCAGCAAATTAGCATCCCATCTTTACATAGAACAAATATAGTATTTACGTAAAAGTTGTTAGGAGTTTCTCTCTTTTTAATTAGCAGAAATAAATGCAAAATGAATGGTAATTAGGCAGCTGATGGATTCGGTAGTACAATTATGCCTGCAGCAGCGCCCCAGTCCTTAAACATGGAGCTC